ACTGCAACCTGCCGAATTCTGAGTGACCTGGCGCGCAGGGTCCTACGCCGGGGCTTGTGAACCTGCACGCTCAACCGCGAGACCCGGCGCGCCGGGCCCTTGTGACCCGGCAAGCTCTGCATGGCACGGCGCCCCGGGCCGTCCGCTGCGTGAGCCCGACTTCAACATCCCACCCAGCAGCGTTCGCAGCAAGGTTTCGGGCGCGGCTGATGCACACTAACCGGCCAGTGTGTTTGACGTTCTTTGAAGCGATGCACAAATAGGGAGAACAGTTGCGGAAGCGCTGCGTCCGACCCGTTTCAGCCAAGTGACCCCAAAACGCTTGCAAAAACCCAAGGTAGAAGCACTGAGCTGTGACTGAGCTGTGGCCCGCGCGCCTGCACACGTCTCTTTTTCACAAGTAGTTAAGTTTGGCTTGCTTTCTGCGAATTGGTAAACAGGGAAGAGGGCCAGCCCCTTGCCCCCTGTGGATCCCCATCTTGGGGCAGCGCCGCTGCTCAAGCCCTGGGGCCTTAAAAGCAGATTCCCGAGTTTGCCTTTTCATCCAACTGCGGAACTGCAGCTTTCAGAAAGGCGCGCTTCTCCGAAACTGCATTTTTCATTTGGCCTGCTTACCGCCACTGGCAGGAAGCAGCAGACTAAACGCTCGGACCAAAGGATTTCAGCCAATATCCAGCCCTCGGATGGTTTAGCCTGCTTACCGCCATCGTCGGTAAGCACACTTTATAAATAAAAAGAAGCAGTTTCGCGAAACTACCTTTTTTGCCGAGTTGCAGCTCTGCGCATCATGACGCATCTGGTTTGCATTCTTTCTGGCCCCAAGGCCCCAAGGCTTCGCGTGGCAGACGTGCAAAGAGAAAAAAAGAGAGTGGGCAAGAAAAGAGAATTAGTGAGAAAGAAGAAGGCAGGCAGTATGTAGGGCGTGCTGCCCCAAGGTGGGAGCACACAGAGGGCAAGGAGCTGGCCCTCTTCCCCGTTTACCAACACGCAGAAAGCAAGCCAAACTACTTGAGACATAAGGTGTTACTGAGCCCTCAACAACAGCTCAGTGCTTCTAGCTTGGGTTCTTGCAAGTGTCCTGGAACCTGCTTTTCGCGGGTGAAAACTTGGCTTCAGGTCACTTGGCTGAAACGGGGGTCGCACGCAGCACTTCCTCCTTATTTTTGCATCGCTTCAAAGAACGTCAAAACCTGTAACGCACAGCAAGAAAAATCAGGAAGAAGGCAAACACAACGACAACTATAGTTTCGAAGCTTCCGCCCGCCGCCATCGCCGGTTTTAGTGGTTTGTTTTTGTTTGGTTGTGTTCTGCTTGTTGTGGTGTTGTTTCTTTGTTTTCTGTTGTATCTCGCTATGCTTGAAATTAAAAAAAATTCTGGCCCGTGTTTGGTTCCATGGCTAAGTTGTATGTTTATCTGTTGAATCGTCATGTTCTTATTCTTGTTTTTGTCCTTTGCTGATGTTTTCTAAGGGATTCTCGTCATATTGTGCTATCCGAGTTAATGTGAGTTATTGATCTGTTTTGCTTCTCAGTGTAATTGCAATGTCTGTTTTTTATTTCTTGTTCTGCGCCCCTTTTTCCTTTCTCCGAGCTTCTTTACAGCGCATCCAGTTACAGTTGGCGTTGCGTTTCATTCGCTTTCACATGGCTTTATGCCACACAGGGCTTCATGTATCCCAACTGGTGCAATTTTTTGTCCACCAACAGTATCACACCCATAAGTACACCTTCAGCAAGTACACCTTCACTAGCCTACGAGTTTTTTGTTGCACAGTTCTTCCTTGTTGGAACCTGGCCATAAGGGCACAGGCTGGACGCCAGCCAACGCACACAATTCATCGGATTGCCTTTGCAGCAGTGATTTGTGCCCTGATGCTTGCAGCATTGTTGTGAGTCGGGCCGATGGCAGTCGCAGGTCGATGCTGGCGTCAGTTTGACTTCATGACGGCTCAGATGGGGCCGTGGCTTGCTGTCTACAATTTGCGGGCATGTGTGGCCACAATACCGAACCCCCTGCAGGGGACACCGGCATTTGATTATGCGCAACGCTTGAGAAGGAGATGTGTTTATTTGTTTCCCGGAAACGTAGCCTGTCAAACTACTCTGAACACTGGTTTGGAACCATCTCTGGGGGAGGGGGGGCCCGGCGGGCCCGGCCCCATGTCACATGCTTGCAAGCGACAGAGAGGTCTGCAAATGTGTCCATGTGTGCGTGGTGCGTGTCATTTGTAAATGGTTCAAGTTCGGTAGTGTTCTTGTGCCGTACTGGCAGTGTAATTCGAGGGCAACGCACCATGCCAGACTTGAACCCCTCGTGAGTTTGCCTTTGACTCCGAACAAGGGTCGCGTATTGTTTCGCCCTGAAGGTAGCTGGTCCCAAAACCCGACAAGGATATATCAAATGTTGAAACTGAGAGTTGACGTCGAAACATTGCCAGCGTATATTTGTGCATGTATACTGCCGCCTTTGTGCGAAGTCGGGAAGCTTGAATCTTATATACATCTCAATTGTATAGGCTGCATGTTGTCCAGTGGGTTGGTTTGCACCGGGCCAGCCCTGGCTTGACAAGGTTGCTTTGCAAGATTGATACCGCGTTGCCTTCTTTCCTTTGTCTGAAGTCAGGTTCTTTTTTCAGACAATCAACCCGTGATTGTTAATTTCACCCTGTAAGGGAAATATAGCTGGCACGTGCTGGCACCCTGATGGCTGAGCCACAGGTACTTGCTACGGGGAGAAGCAAGAAAGCAAGAACTTTGCAAACTGTCAAACACTCAACACTTCTCTCACATGCACCCCCTATCACATGCCCCAAGGCCCTTCCATTGAAGCCAATCCCCAAAATCAGACCCGAAGTCGGTCGGCCTTCCGAAGCAACTCTTAGAGGGGTCCAGTGAACGCAGGAGCCAGTCAGAAGGACTTCCTGACGGCCATGATCGCTCTCGGAGGCTCAGTCCTCCAAATTCCTCGGACAAACTGGTTATTCCGTACCCCTCCCGCAAAGAAAAGAAGCCAGCATCTTCCAAAATGCAATTTTTATGTGGCGTCCCCAGTTCTAGGTTTGGGGGAATTCTCTAACTCATTCTTGGGGTTCTGAAGGTACTTCTGGCTTTCCAGGCGTGAACAGGTTAACGTGTCATTATTCTTGTAAGTTAAAATGGAGCAACCGTTGCTTTTTGCCCAAATAGGGTGCTTGGTAGGTCCGGTCATAAGACTGGGAAGAGAGGTCGGTGGGAGAAAATCGCGGTTTTAGTGTTGGCTTCACTTTGGGCTATTCTGATTTAGTATTGCGTTGCGATTTTGGAAAAGCATGATTTATTATTTGTGGGACCTGTATCATTTTGGGAACAGATGAAGAAGCAACGTCGAGCTTGTTACATTGTTGAAGCTTTTGCAGATTTCAGAGGAGTGCTGTTCAAAACAGGAAGGTGGCTCCGTTTGCATTTTTCATTGAGCGATCGCATCTTTACCCATTGCGTCCATTGAGCTGCGCTAGGGGTTCTACCCAATCCTTGGGCACCTTGCGGCATCTCAACGTGCCTACGCCGCTCGGCCTAGCCGAATGTTTGCGTGCGAGCCGGAGCCTCTAATGTCACCCTCCAAAAAAAAGAAGAAGAAGAACAAAGTGCCAACAGTCAGTTGGACTCTCTTTAGCGGGAAGTTGGAGGTCTGGGTTGGACTTGACCGAATCTTAGCTTCCCACTACTTAAGCCAGTATTACCAATTCCGAATTTAGTATTGCCAAGACTCAGTCTTAGTTTTCCCGCATTGTTGTTGTTTGTTTGTTTTTTTGGTGGCAAGAATTAAGATTGGATTCGCAGTACTTAATTTAGTGTTACTTTTTGAGCCTCTGAGCCAGAAGGGCTTCCATGAGCCGCCCTGAAAAGCAGAGGCTAGGTCTTTGATTTGGGAATGTCGCCCCCACCCAAAACAATTGCCATGAAAGACGGCCCCAAAACTGTCAGACTAGACAGATCAGGGCTCTTGAGAAAGAAAAAAAAACGTTGTGTGACTCTGCCCTATTCTTTCCAGGGTTTTATTTGGGTGTGGCTCAAAATTAAACAGGACGGGTTACGCAGGTGTTGGCCCATTTTTCCACTTACGAGGGCAAGCCATTTTGGAATTCCGTGTTTTTGAGCCACGGCCATTGATATAGCCTGCTGCTTGGGGGCCACTTCCTCGCAGATCTAAGGCCTCTCAGGCCAAGCCCGGCGTTACAATCGGTGAGCCATCCGTTAAAAGTAAAAGGCTAAGGCTTTGATCGGGTATTTGTTGGTTTGGTTTTCAGTGGTTTTTAGATAGATATAAGTATAAATGTATGTATATTTACCAAAGATAGCTAACATAAACAAATAAGGAACCACTTTTCATAATAGCGGACCTACTGATGGGGCCCACATCACGGTCTCTGCTTTTCGCTTGGTTGAAAACCGCACGGCAATGACACTTGTTTCGACATGGCATGAGCAGGTTGGGTGCAAAACTTCAGGAAGTCCTTGAGAAAAACCAGCATGGCCATTGGAACGTCATGCTACAGTCCACATGTCATCGCACCACATTCCATCACAGTCACATCAGCTTCATGCCACGGCAATCTACATCGTGTTTATTACCTCACCCTGCAGCATGCCGTATGGAATTACATTATGTCGCGTTATTGTCATCACGTGCCACACACCTAGACGCCCGGCAATGCATTTCGGGTACCGAACCTATGTCGCATCACCATACATGATATCTCATCAAGCACACAAATGCACGCAACATGGAATCAATAATGCGCTTTCCTGACTCCCTTCCTCCCTCCCTCCCTTCCTCCCTCATGCCCTTCAATTCCTCCCCACCTCAACTCTACTTACTCAGGTCATGCAGAAGCACGCGCTTCAGCGTTTACCATCTTGTCATTGCGGACTCTTGCAGGCCCCAACATTGAGCGCTCCATACCCTGCAGAGGTTGGCAGCAGACGGCGTCTCTGGCCGCTCCCAGTCTAGTCCGCAGAAGATGCGGTCGCCATCTCCGAGCACTGCCCGGGTTGAGTCTGGAGCCCAGCTCTTTGTTGGGAGGACGTGCACGAGCAAAAGAACACGAATAATCCTTTACAAAGAACCCGGTACAGCAGAACCAGAACAAGCATAGTGACTAGTGACGGAGTCACCTTTGCCAACGACTGCTATGCGTCCTTCCACAATAAAATTATTGCATGCAGAGAGTTCAAAACACTGATCATAGCTCAGTTGCATTCCAAGGATTTTCAAAGCAGGCCTGTTCCCTTGTCGAGGACAAATGGTGAACGGCTGGTTTTCAGCATGTTCCAACTTTACGCAAGAAGCACACCCAAAGTATGTGACCCTCGGATCTCCAAAATTCCAAGATGAACGTGAAGACCAGTGACACGCGCATGTTACATATTTGCTGTTTGCAACTTTGCGTACTTGTCCAGTGTCAGTTGCCCATTTACATGTCGTGCGCCCATTCTCAACGTGCGAGATTGGTGCGGAAAATGGTGGGCCTCAATCACGCTACCATGCCCAGAAATGCAACAATCAGCACATACAGGCTCATGGTACACAACCGTAAGAATTTGAAACACGCTGTGCTTCCAGCAAAGCCATCAGAGATTGAATCACATAAATGTGACTGATGGGTTTTTTGAGTCGAGGCGTCCTGGAGACCATAGTAGTCTGGGGCTTTTTGTCAGATGTGATTTTGGCACAGAGGTTTGCCCAGTGGCCCAGCAAAGTAGGCCAGACCCTTCCTGTAGTTGTACGGAAAGGGCTCCAATGGCTCCAGACGATTCGATGTTTTTTTTTGGGTTTTTGTCGCGTTACGCTTTGTCCAGACCCCTCCCTCTAATCAGGTCATCGCCCAGTTCCAGCTTGCGCAGGTCCACGAAGTCCTTGCAAAGCCGGCAGAGGGGGCGCGCCGAAGATGACGCGGGCCATGGACAGAGGCGAGCTCCTCAGCCATGTGGCTGTGGGTCAAAACCAATGCTACAATTTGGGGTAGGTGCACCACCCATTTTAGTCTATTTTAGTGGGGATTGGGATGTTCACTGGGGGTACGGGTTTTGACACATGGCCATGTGATGGGTTATTTCAGGTCACCAAACGAGAGGCTTGCCTCTCCTTGAGCGTCCACTGCGGGCGCTGCGAGACTGGTAGAAGTGGCTGATGAGACCATGACAAAGTGCTTGCCTTTGAGGCCTAACCCATTTGACATGGCACGTTGGCGCGAATTTGTTTCTCTCCGGCAAGGATGGGCGTTCCCTGTTTGCCCCTACTATCCCATGACGTGCCACCTTGAAGATAGTGGCATGTCCACAGATCATGTTTGTTATTGGCCTTTTCGGGCAAGCAGGGTTCCATGTCGGTTTTGCAAGGGCCCGTGTATGCTTTGGTGCATTTGACGTGGGAATCGTGGACTGCTAACCTGGGCAGTCTGCTTGAAATTGAGCTCCAAAGAGTCAATCCCGCACGGCAAAGAGTTGACCTTCAAAGTCTTTCTTGCCAATTCCCATGAGGCCGTCACGGGTATCCTTCGACACGAACTCGTTGGTGTCAGAACGGGTGGACGCAGAGATCTCCAAGAGGCGGGGGGGGGTTGTCTATGCGTGGCATTCCTTGGGTGCAGTGTTGCACCTTGATGAATGGACATCCCCGGAGACCCAAGTTACCACAAGGCCAGCGTGCACGGGCGACTGGGTTTTGTGGAGGGATGAGGTGGGTGCAGACTGCACAGGACGTCTCCAGCTATTTCGATTGCTTGCTGCGCACGGTTGCTAGAGCTTGTTCAGCCATTATACGGCTACCACTTGCCCTACGGAGCCCATCTTTGCCCCATTAGGTACGAAATTGACATGCGCGAGATCGGCATTGGAGGATATGGAAAGGCTGGCTGCACCAGACGCAGTTTCTTACGCATCGTGTGATTACACACTCCTGCATCCCTGCTGCTTGTTTGTGACGCATGTTGTTAGTTGGTGGAGGGAGATTTGTAGAATTCAGCACTCGAATGGCAGCCTCTTGTGAAAACAATAAATAGAATACAAACAAAATCCAAGTAAGTGTCGTTGGTGGGGCGGCGGGTGGGCGGTTAGTTGGAGTGTGGATGTGTGGGTGTGTTTGTGGGTTGCCGTGCAGGTTGTGTGTGTGTGTGTGCGCGGATTTGTTTCCCGCTATTATCGTCGCTTTGTGTTTGCCTTAGCCTTGTTTTCACACATGTAGGTTGGTGCATTGAATACCTGCTGGTACTTAAGCTTGTTCACTTGTACGCTTTGTCTTACAAGCCAAGAGTTGGCTGCCAACCGCTTTTTGGCCTTTTGAACTGAGGGTATTGGGCTCGCTCACTTCGTTGGCCTCTGCCAAAGCTTGGATCGGCCCATCCCATTTGCTTTGTCAAGTTGGCTCGCTTCGGATCGTCTCGACTGCTTCGTCAAGAGCAGTAATGTTTCCAGGCGCTGGAAAGGAGGGCCCATTGGAACAATGTGGGATAGCGCCTTGGGGCAGCCTGACGTGGTATGTTTTGGGTGCCGCTGAATATCAGTGGGCACCTTTTTCGTTGCCTTGCTGAGTCAAGACCCTCTGGACGCAACGGCAGAGAGAGAGTGAGGGCGCTAGAAAGAGACAGGGAGAGAGAGAGAGAGAGAGACAAAGATGGGCGAGTCCATGCCGTCCATACACCCTTCGGCCAGGTCTTCATTGCCAAGGACCGCATGTTCAAAGATCGTCAGGTGGCCATCAAGAAGGTGCGGTATGATGTGCTTTGGGGGAGGGTGGCTCTTGGCGCTTCCCATAGAAGCTACCGGCGAACGCCACGCCCCTCAAGGGAAGCATGGGGATCAGAGCTCTTGGTGCTGTATGGTTGTTTTTCAACTGCACTTTGGATGGACGAAATCCTGCACCACCTAAGAAACCCTGGAATGATGATTCCCCTGTAAATGCCAACAAATGATGGTTTCTCATGGTTTGAAGTGGAGCAGGACTTCGTCCATCCACAGTATTTGGAGGTTACCAAAGGACAGATCGATGCTGGATGGAATCGACCAAGGGTTCCTCGCCCCTTTCGTCATGTTAACATTGGGACATGCGCTTGGGACTGGTGCAGGGTTTGTTCAAGAGATGCTTAGAGAATTCAATTTTGTGATCATTGACCTGCAAAGTACGCTGACGCCAGAGTTTGTGTGCATCAGCATTGCCTTAGCTGACAGCTATTCGAATGGCCCCATTTTGCTTCTTGTATCATTGCTCACTCGGCGGCATGCCACCCCCTGATCAGTTGTTTGCCTTGCTTGGTTTGCGAAGGCAATTGTTGGGCCCTTCCATCCAACATCGAGCCGTAGCGGCTGTAGGTTTTGCTTGCGTACCTTGCGCTAAAAATGACATGGAGGATGGGGTAGCGCCCCCTTTCCCCATGAAGGCTCCTTTGTGGGAAGTCCTTGATTGGGGTGTTTTATGCTGTTGTTTTTTTGTGCAGACCGGGTACGCGCCTGGCTCTCGGAAAAGCTTATTGGCAGGTGGTCAGAATTGACGAGGAGAGGGACTCCGCTTTCAAGAAGGAGGCGCGTTCGGTTGGCCGGTGCCCTTTCGGGCCCGGAGGGCACGAGCTAACCGCAGCAACCCGTTTCAGTGAAGTCCTAAAGCAATTGAAGCCGTGTTTAGCCTAAAGGGGGGTTTCCATGCACAGGGAAGTTGGGTTTGTTTTCCCTTTGTCTTTTGTTGTAAGCAGTTGTTTTTCAAAACAGGCCATGAGTCAGCAGTCCTCACGCCTGAGCCCAAGCACCTTTTAGAGTTTTTGCCTTGGACGCCATGCACATGTGCGGGTATGTCCAGTGGAGGCCTGTGGCAAGGCGTGACCTGCAACTTATGCACGCGGCCCTGCAGGTGCTTATCATGAAGAAGCTTGATCATCCAAACATTTGCCGGCTCTTCGAGACCTACGAGCAGGTGAGGAACCCCGAAACAGCCACAAAGTGCTGAAGCACCTTAGCATACGCCAGCATGTTGTTGCTGTCGCTTGTCGACAAGGCGGCAGGGCTTGTTGGTTTGATACTTCTTGTTTTACTTGGCTCCATGCTGCCATTGTGGTATCATATCACAAACATGGTTTCTCCCAGTCTAGCACGATTCCAGGGCCGAGTCATGTACTTTGTCATCGAGTTTTGCGAAGGGGGCGACCTCTTCGACAGGCCTGACAAGTCGGTCAGGCTATGTTGTTTTTCTTCTTTTTTATTGCACCGCAGCTTGGTCGACATTTTGTGCTGCCTCAGTCTTGTTAGACTATGAGGCAGTGACCTGTGGCTGCTTGTGGTTCCATCGCACTGCTTCTCACAGGTTTTCAAACTGCGGCAAGCTTCCCGAGACGATGGTTGCGCCGATAATTAAGCAGGCTGGGCGGGATCCCGATGTATTTTGCTTGTCCGGGCGCCGGCAGCAGAGACTCTAAGCGCCGGGGGCTGCGCGACAGGCCCTGGGCAGGTATGCGACAGTGTGCGAAGGAAGTTGGTTGGGATGTTGAACGATGAAGAGCAAAGTCGCGCTATTGGCCCCTGACGTGGCAAGCGGGAATGGTTGTTGTTTATGGTGTGACAGTTGATCGCACTTGCTTGTTAGAGTTGTCGCTCGTTTTCATGACTCCGCAAATGCCAAAGGCAACCCCCGAGTGGGCTCAACCTGTCGACCAGTTTTGGTTGTGCTCACTCGGAGGGGCAGGGAGAGAGGGAGAGGGAGAGATACCTGCCCAAAACTGAGGCACATCATTTTGTGATGCCATGGCAATCTCAGAACGCCGGCTCCTATTGCCTTTACCGCATGGCAGGTGGCGAGTGCTCTGAAGTATGCTCACTCCAAGGGCATCGCTCACCGGGCCAGGGGCCCAGTAGACGAGCCTTGGGCGAACGCCACACGTGCGAAACAGGTTCCAGCTTGTGACAGGGCGGCTCACATTGTGTATCCGAGAACCCATTCATTGAAACCCAGGGGTCAACTCAAATAGATATTACGTTTCGGCGTGAACATGGTCAAGCCGCTTTCCTGTTGCAGGATGAATGGATTCAACGATGCCTGCGAACCTCGTCAATGCCTTGCTTGACTATGTTCTTTTCGAGCTTTTGGTTGTCGAATGATGGTTCATTGCTCGTCATGCCCCCAAAGGAACAAGCTTTGATTTCTGGTGTGTCCACATTCTGGTGTGTCCACATTGCCCGGTATATCAAGATTACGATTCGCCAAGTGTAGCTGCTCTCAAGCAGTCTGGTCTCGGGAAGAAGGGGGGATGCGTCTCCCCGAAAAATAAGAATTGTAACATTCCATAGCTACTCACATAGTTTGTTTGGAGAGAACTTGCGTGAAAGCGCTGGCTTTTATCAGCAGAGCGCCAAGAGGGAGATGCAACATGTGCCGTGGACTAACTCTACCCTGGGTTTAAAGATCGCCCCATGGGTCCGGCAAACGCCTCATTGAGGATCTGAAGCTTGAGAACATTTGCTTCTGCGAGAAGTCGCCCACAAGCACCCATGTCAAGGTGGGAATGATGACAGGCCTCCGTTATTTCCAGGCAACCACCATCCAGGATATTCCTACTGAAAGCCACGTCGCACCAACTTGCCAAGCTCCCAAAGCTGCCATTGCGACCCAAAGCTGCCATTGAACTGTCCTCTAAATTGTGGCGCTGTGGGTCCCCCATATCTTCACTTAACCATTCTGATGTCAAGAAAACTCAGCAACTGCATGCACAAGCAAGCAAATGCAAGCCAATTTAAGCAATTGCTGGCTGTCATTGGGAGCTGGTTCCCATCAGGGGCTTCGAATCCTGATGCTTGCAGGGCATTTCTTTCCTTCTTGCCTCGATTGCTCTTAGTCAACTTAGCAGTCAACATTGGAAAGTAACCTTCAAAACCCTGAAAGCAAGCAAGAAGCTTGTACAATCCCAAAGGCCTTCAAGGGTCTGTTCTGTGGTTGAGGACCCCATGTAGAGACGGCCCTCGGAGCAAATGAGCAGAGACTGGGGTAACATGGCCGAAGGTTTTGGCAATTGGGGGCTGACGTTCCAGCTGAAACAACTTGAATATGCCATCCTTTTTCCAGTCACCCTTCCACACACAAGCCACTACACCCTCCCCATACGCGAATGTTGAAATCGTCCGAGTCATCCCACAGTCAGCTAGCTGCTGGCCGGTGGGGCCAAGGAGCTGGGTGCATCCACATGCGCCGTTGCAGAGGGAGACAGAGAGCTCTACAAAAAGGTTCCTCGCCCTTCATGGAATCCACAGGCTCCCTACGGTATAGGAACATGTGAAAAGCTAAGATTGCCCAAGCCCACCCCAGAGGTCTCAGGATACTATAGGCATAGGACAAAAATACAAAATAACAACATTTCTTCACCCCACAGGAAGTCGAAAGCTAAGCTTGTCCAAGCCCCTTTGCGGCCCAAGGATACTATCGGAAATTCGTGAAACGTAAAATTATATCCAAGCCCCCAAAAATCCACAGTCTCTCAGAGGCCTCTCCGGCTCCAATCAGGCGTCTCGGCGCCTCGGCCTCTCGGAATTGTTTTACGTCAGGTGATTGACTGGGGCCTCGCGGGCAGCTTCGAGCAGGGCCGTATGAAGTCCTCCGTGGGCACCTCCACCTACTCGGCCCCTGAGGCGCGGCTCGCTGGGCTCGCTCGCTGGGCTCCCGGGGCTCGGCTCGTGATGGGTCGGCTGGGCTCGTGATGGGTCGGGTGGGTCGGGCGTAGGGTGCGTGGGGCGTAGCTTCTTCTTCTTCGTTGGTTTTTTTCTTTGTGGGGGGGCCGCACGCCTGGTGTTTTTTTTTTGGGGATTTCCCGAAAAAGAGCCACTCCAAGAGGGGAAGTTGGCCTCAACGAGAAGACACACCCACGTCACATGGCTGGTGGTCAACACCAATGGTACCATTTTGTGGTAGGTGCACCGCCCCTTTTAGTTTATGTTAATGGGGATTGGGATGTTCACTGGGGGTACGGGATTTTGGCCCATGGCCACATCCCATGCCATAGGAGAGTCCCAACAAATTGTGTGATGGGTCTATCATTTTGGACCCAAGTAGGTCATGTATTTCCCGGCTGGGTTTTCTGATGCCCTCTACTTGCTGGCAAGGGGATGGTGCCACCTACATTTACTATCACTTACCCAGCCCGGTGGGGATGCGAACTGGTCCGACGGACGTGTGCAGATGCCAATTGGAAACTTGAGCAGGATGTGCCAAGCTTATACTTGTGTGTTTGCAGGATTAGCTTCATTGGGGGACGGCCATGTGTTTGTTCTGCCTTGGCTAGCCGGAATTTACATATTGCGGGGAACGGGTCGTGATTCATTCTTTTCTGAGGGAGGATGAGAAACCAAAGGGGGGAGGCGTCAAGCAAGGCCGGTGTTTGTTGAGACTCGTATTGCGGATAGTTCGTCGTCTAGGTTTTTACCATGTCAAAGGCTAACGAGTGAGAGCATGCCGCTGGTCATGCTCCCGTGGATGAATGGTCTGGTACGGCGTGCCTTCACATCAGTCGACTGATGGTTGCCCAGCTCAACTTACCATTGCTACCTCATTTGCACCTGTCATGTGTCCTTTTGATTTCCTGCCCAGGTCAGGGTGCCACACATCGTGTGGGCAATGCAGCATTCATGTTTGCCAATGGCAGTAGTGTCATCGCGATTGTGAACAACACAGAATAAGCAGGAATCTTCAAGTTCCGTCCAAGTGAGGTGAGGTGTGTGGTGGGTGGCGGTTGGGGGAGCCAATTTGTTCGGGTTGGCTTTCATTGCGCAGGTGCTCGACCCAGAGGATGACGATGACGGCTACACCTGTGCCGGGTGACTTAATTAAACATCCAGTGCTTTGCGATACCAACATACAAAGTAGGTCTTTTTGAGGGGAAAACTGCCATCCAGTGGTCCAGGGAGCCTCACTTTAGTTCCGTGTTTGTGGGAGGCTATGTCGTGCTGGCTTCCGTTGGAGTCAATGTTTCAATTTGGAGTCCTTGTTCGCGTTTTCTTTCGGCTTGCCAGTTTGGTCATCATGAATGACAGCTCGCACATGGCCTGCAGACTGACAGTCAGAAGCCGGTTTTCTCCTGGCCCAATTTGCCAAGTGCTGCATTCCTGTATTGTATTGAGTTGTTTTCCGTCATGCATGTGAGCGCCGCATCGAGGCGTGCGACCTATGGAGCCTGGGCGTGGCGACTAGCCCCAGCTAGGGCTTTTGGCTTGCTCCGGACCGGGGAATGTCCGGCAAACAAGGGCCATGGCCAGCTGCATTTTCACATCTCGGCCTGTGTTCATGGAAGCTGTCTTTGCACAGCGTCACAGCCATGACCAACTAATCACAAGTTCTGGTTGCCTAGACAGCAGCTTGCGGCCTCGTTTGAGCCCACGAAGCTAGCTTGGAGACTGAGACTGGCCGCACGGTGATCAGAGTGCAGCCCAAGGTCTATCTTCCGCCGCACGTTCTCCGTCCACTGAGGTTGCCTACGTCGCTCTCTCGGGCAAGCCTCCCTTTTGGGGCAGCCCGTGGCCCAGGGACAGGCCGAGAAAATCCAACCGACGGCAGATGCGGATTCAGTGTCAGCGCAGATTGCAACACCCGAGGTCCAAAGCAGCAGGTTGCCCGCATGAGATCAGAGCATTATCCATTGAGTGGTGAGCCGCGCACTCGGTTAGGACGGTTTGACAGGATCATGGGAACGCACGGGAACGCCAAAGCTAGTCGCGTGTGCTTTGTTCAATTTTGTCGATGTTGATGTTGGAGCAGCACAACTGAGTGCTTTCATGAGGTGTTTATTTGGTTGTTCATTTTGTTTCTGCTTTTTGTTTTGCTGGATAGACATCGGTCACAATATGTGTGAGACGAGGTGAAGGCCCACTGTTCCAAGTTTGCCGCAACAAAGTGATAAAAAGCATTATTCCTGGATGTTGCTTTCTGTCATACATTTAAATATCTTTATTGTTGGGTGCATGTGTGGTGCTTCAGGACAGGCACTTCGTTGCTAGAGGATGACACAGTTGCTAGTGGGTTTTGCTGGAGGGGGTTCCGCGGGGACTTTGTAACGAGCACGTTGTATCAATGCGCTTTGTGCTACTGGGGTCATGGGTGGCAAATTGCAATTGACGCCGCTTGCTCAGGTTTTGGGACACCGTGTCAGAAGAGGCCAAGGACCAGTCCCAGTGGTGCTTGCAGTTTCATGAAAGGTGCGACTTTTTGCCGAAGCCATGAAGCCATGGGCAAGATTTGTTGCTGTGGACCTGGTTTCGTACTACAGGCCTCGAGGCTCAGACCCTCCAGCTTGTTTCTTCGTGGTTTACGTGATGGCGGAGCACTCCGGGAGCAGCATGAATCTGAGGTTAATTTATCCCTATTTGCTACGACGTGGCAAGCAAAGCAACAGCAACAAGGCACACCAGCAGCAACACCATGCAGAACCATATTGTCTATGCAAATAGACCTGCACAAACAATGAGGTTCAGCAACTTGACAAGTACAAGCTGCTGCCACCGTACTTCAACGGAGAAATAGAGAACCAACATGCCATGCGGCAGCAGTGCACCCAGACGCCACCAGGTGGTCAATAGTTCACGTGACTTGCGCAAATCCTCATCAGCATTTGTCACAGCTCGGCAACCGGCGACCGGCTGCAAAACTGTATGATTGCTCAAGCAGAGATGCTCTAGCACCTGGCACCAGAACCATTGGATGCTTGACCAAACTACTCAAAACCAGCATTCCCGGAGCAGCGGTTCGAGGAATTCGTCAACGGGAGTCCGGCATCAGCAGATACGAACAGTGGGTGCACTCCAACAGCACCTTTGCAGCTACGAGCTGGAACCAAGACCACCCACCATGCCGCATGCAAAGTGGTGAACGTAGGACAATCCCAGCCTAAGCGAACACTGCCTGGTACCTCGGCAGGCGCCAACGAAGGTCGCGACGCATGCGTCAAGGTGGACAGCCCGTAGAAGCAAATGCTTTCTCAACGTTGCCAACATCCAACTTGCGATCGAGCCCCTTTGCTTGCGAGTGCCCTTTCCCGGCGCGTCCAGCACAGTTTTCGCAGGCGAGGCGAGCGCAATTTTTGTCCACCCCCCGCAAACTACTACGTTCCAACCCGGCTAGAATGATGCCGGGAAGTCCTTCGCACGTGCCCTTTGCAGACCTGGGTGGTGACGAGCAAGAGTCACAAAGCAACGCCCAACATAAAATGCTTCGTCATTGGACTCTGCTGCTCGCGCAAGAAAGCAAAGTACAGCAAAGGCTGGAACTAGCACTAATCGAACACCATCAGTTCAACCGCTCGGAGGTAACGTCACCAAAGAAAGCGCAGTAATTGCCAACGACTACATCAAGACACCCATGATACAGCGCTGCCCAGTACCAGAAGCACCGCGCTACTGCTGGACAACTGGCAGCGCCGTGGAGAACCACTGTAGCACCGTCGTGATGCGAATGCCACACCGAGGGGAAGTATCGAATGTCGTGCGTCACATGGCTTGTGCCCTTCAGGCCTGGAGGCTTGAGCATAGGAATTGGAGTTGATGACATGAGAAGCAGAGCGGTCAGAGCGGTCAGAGCCTTTGTGGTAACACTAAGTTTGTTGTTTGCTTGTTGTTTAACATGACAGAGAGGGAGGTGAGCTGAATCTTCTTGATGCACCCGCAGGACTTGATCAAGCAATTGTTAAAGACGGATGTGCAGGCAAGCTGCGCAGAGCTTCATATGTGGGCATGCTGTGGATGAGCAATTTCTATCACGCGTTCGTGATAGCATTCATGACGGCGGCTTTCTCATTGAGCGGCGGCCGGCTTCCGTTAGCACCCATGTGAAGCTGAAACTGTAATTTTGATCAGTGCAGCTGAAGCCTTGGTTTAGATACACGTAGTATGGTGTGTGTTGTGCTGTGTTTCGTGACAAGTGTTGTGACGCAAATGCGCTGCCAACTTGACTTGTGTGCAGGTTAGACTGACCGCTGACCAGGTCGGGGCCGTTGTACTGGTTCATCGCATGTTGCTTGAGACAGTTTGTGGCGCTTTGGCCGTTGACTCCGACAGTCTGCACCAAATGCTGTTGTGTTTCCCGGCTCCAAAGTTTGGTTTTGGCGCTTTGCGGTCCTTCAGAAACAGGGGTTGTTGGCAAAATAATGGGGCCAGAGGCGGCCCAACTTTGGAAGCCTTGGCCAGGTTCTGGACCACCCGTGGCTGGAAATGGGCCAGATGGAGCCGGACTACAGGTTGTTGGCACAGGCACTCCCCCGGCTGAGCGGACTGCGTACGCCGGGAGTGGGCGCCACTTTGTGCAGTGAGAAATGACTAGAGGAGTTGGCATCAGTTTCTCCTTTGCAAAGGTCGAGTCCTTTGATTATTGGCAGGAGCCGGGAGGTAAGGAGATGGCGGATTGTGTTCTTCTTGGCACTTTTTCTTCATGCGCTTGAAACACAGCAGACATGAGGGCAAAGACAATCGCAGCCAGCTATTTGTTGGATCTCGCCTTGGGCAAGTCAGGAAGATGCGAACAGCCATGATGCTCTTACACAGCACAGACACGCAAAGGCAAAGCAGCTAGTTCCAATTCAGTAGGGCTTTCTGACGGCGCAGCGCAGGTGCTGACAAATCTGGAGCAGTTTAGCCGCGCGCCGGATTTCTTCACTTTTTGCGTTGCCTCAGCCTGGCCCTCAGCCTGTCCCGACGAAGCAAGCGGTCAAGATGGCGTTAAAAAGACGGCAAGGCTTCGAGGTAGAGAGCTGCGCGTGTACAGACGACTGCGCAGCAAGGGGCCCACAGCTGGAGTGCACTGGCTTTTGATTGCCACTGGGCCTCTGCATCGGTGCACCGCGGCTGCCATTTGGCTCGGAATCAGCGCCGGGTTGACTCGTCGGCTTTGTCGGCGTATATTTTGTAAGCCATGGCGCGCAGCCTCGCTGTCGCGGCGTTGATCGCCGTCGCAGGCGGCCTTGCCTTTGTGCCTGGCGCCATTCCCCGTGGCACCACGGCGCCGCCGAGCCGGGCACTGCAGGCCGCACCCGCGGCTGAGAGCAGCTGGGGCTCGCTGCCGACTCTGGTCGGAGGCATGGCCCTGGGTGTCTTCTTCTCCCTGGCCACCCTGGCACCCGTGCGGGCAGAAGAGGCACCAGCCACCCCAGCACCCACGCCGGCAGAACAGGCGCCAACCCCAGCTCCAGGACCCAGTGACGAGGAGATCCTGGCAAAGGGCTGCGACATCAGGGTGGACTGCACCACCAAGGAGCAGCAGTTTGCCTGGGCCAAGGCCTACTACAGGAAGTACAACCAGGAGACTGACGGCAAGGACCCCAAGTACTCCAAGCCCAGCACTGGTGCAGGCGTATTCCGCAAGTTCAAGATCGACTGGCCCAACCCGGACCCCAGCATCCCTGACACCACTGATGGCACCTACCCGATCCGCAATGAAGACTTCCTGCCCATCTGGAAGCAGCAGCAGGAGGATCTCAGGGCGAAGATGAAGGAGTACATTGGCCGGGAGTTCACTGAGATCCGCTGGATTGAGGACTATGACAACGCGGGAAGCCCCTACAAGCCCCACAACGGCTACTACTGAGCAGATCGCAATGATCCAGCACGAAGCAAGTGAGCGTGGCACACGTTTTCTGAATGCCCTGCGGAATCATGCTGCTGACGGCTCGTGGGTTTGCAGGAGCAAAAGCAAGTCAGCCCGCCAAGCTGCGAATTCCCTTCCACTCATGTCCCAGCAATCAGGCGTCTTATGGCGTCTCGTTGGTTGATCACTGCGGCAGTTGACTCATTTGTGACCCCAAGCTTTCACCATTCCAGATGCATGTTTGCCTTTCAGAAGGAGGCTCACGTAGGTCAGGCTGCAACCCCAACGATTGCTTTGGTAGCTTCGGTCAGGTACATGCACCCTGAAACTGGGTTTGTTGTCGTAAGTGCCAGCCTGGTCAAATCACGAGCAACATTGTGGAACCACACGGACACGAGAGTTTGTTCGCAACTTAGATGGGTCCTACCTCGACAAGCTTAGTGAGAGGAATTCCTGCCTGTGATCCCTTTGCAAAACCCCCTGGTGCCTTTGATTTTCATTTCGAAATCAGCACAAGATTAGGAGTGTCACGTGGACGCAGGCATGTGCATTTGCTCGCACTAGTGGATTTGCGTTGATACATGTTGATACCTTGCAGAGCATCTCATTTTTGATATTTTGTTACCTGCAAAGCGTGTCAGGATGACCCGCACCCCCTTGATCTTTCACAGGAATGCTTTGAGAACCTTACCTTCAACCATCTCTGAGCAGCCCTAGGTGGCACGTCAGCTTGATCATCGCAGCCTCTGTAGCAGCGAGCTTAGAATTCGAGCCGAGGGAGGCAAGCTCCATGAGAGGCGGTGCATAGTATAGGTGCAGCTCCGTTGAGATCCGGTATGCCCCCCCCGCGATTTTATCAGATCTCGGCACCCTTGGACTGGAGGATAGCATAGTAGATTACTGCCGTTTGTGCACTTGCCGGTTCACAGCGATTCCACTTCTCAAGTTGGTAAAGTTGTCCACGAGGAGTTTCAACAAACTAGGAGTTGGGCGCTATTGTAGATCGGCACTGTGCCTTTCTTTGCGACATGTTATTTGTATGCCTGACCCCCTGTTGGTTCATCAGTATCAGTAGGCAAGGAAAACATGCTCAAAGCCTTGCCTGGAGGGACGAGGCTGGTTCCCTTCTGCTTTCTAAGCTCGGCGCGCACGTGCATGCAAGCTGCAGGTATCAGAGACGCCTTCTTTATGCTCGATAAGAATTGCCAGGGCCCCAATGCTGAGCTGCGAACTGCATCTTTGGGCATGAATGCTGCTTTAAACTGCTTGGAAACGCCCGAATACCATAAATGCCCAGCAACATGTCCATCCGTCGAGGCAAAACGGTGCAGCCCGGAAACACTTTCAGATGTCCGCTTGCTCTGACAGTGTTGGATGGCAAGGGCAGTTTGTGTAATCACTGCTTTGTACATATACCATATGTCTGGCCGGAAACAAGCAAAAACACTCTTGAAAAAAACAAATGCGTCGCATGAGGAAATCCCGATTTCCGCCGGAGGACGCAACATGGCGCCTTTTGGAGTTTCCAGGTACTGCTGTGTTTCTTAGGTGCCTGGCAAAGTTGGTTTAGTGGCCCGGGGCAATGTACGTAAGGCGATGGAATCTTGGACATGGACGAGATTCGAGCAGGCGTCGTTTTTTTGGGCAGTGTGTCGAAAACCCACACCGAGCAGCTCTGCCAGACCCCCTGGACTATGATTCTTGGGGCTGGGTTTTGGCTCGCACACGTCAAGGGGCCAAACGCTTTGAGGGAGGCTTCGGTTTCTGATATCCAGCCATCGTCAGGATATGCCATGGCATTCCATCCTGATGATCCTGAGGCCGTTACCGAGGCAGGAAGCACTGCACCTCCAGACAGGGGTTTGCGTTTAGCCACCATAGCACCTTCAGAAACAGGGGGAGCCACTCGGACTGGTCAAAGAAAGAGGGCCATACACAGATCAAGGTGGTGGAGAACCATCATGGCTACAGCACATCTGATTCGAAGGTGGCCGTGAAGATCGCAACTTGATGTTTAGTTTGGTTTGCCCTTGTTGTGGCGAGTGCTTATCAACCCTTGAACAGGGTGCTTTGACTTTGGACACGGCTCGCAATGCAGATTGCATCCGATGCTCACTGCATTTTACAGGCGGAGGTTCAAGAAATCTTCTCCTACCTGGACTTGGACGGCTCCGGAAGGCTGTGGGGAGCACTAAGACAGCGTGAGGCACTCACTCGCAAAGCCCTCACTCAGGCATGCAACATGCATGTTTTGGCTTTGCGGGACCTGGCTCCAATGCATACCGAGTATCAGAATCTTGGTGGGAGTGGCAAATGATGAAATGACACAAGCCTAAAGGGAAGCCTTGGGGAAGCCTTGGCGAAACTCCTCAAACTAGATGGTCGCCACTGGGAAAGCTGGCTAGGCAGATGTTAGTAAAGTCTATTGGACGCTCCAGGAACATGAATGAGCAGCAAACAAAACACATGTTTGATGTAAGTGGCATTCATGACGACTTGGTGCCAAACTACCCACCCCCCAAATGATCACACTGTGCATGAGTTCCCTTTAGAGACGGTTGGTAAGACAGAAATGATCTTTCGATCCAGCTCTTTTCCCGGGGAGATGTCGCGCAGGATCACCTACACAGAGTTCTGTGCTGCAGGCAGTCCGAAGCAACCCCCGCCCAAGATGGAAATCATGAGAATTGGCAGGGTTGGCTCATAGGAGTTCAGAGGCTCATTTGAGCGCAGCCCTGTGCAAGATTCAAGATTGTTGACTTGAGAGGCTTGCGCTCATAGGCATGCTTCCTGGGATTAGGTGTGATCTTGAGTCCACCTATTTTGTGTTTGCAGAGCCTGGTGCTTGCTTCAAAAAACATGGCACCTCTGAGAATCGCACGAGGGCCTGGTCGCTTTCCTCTTTTAGCACCATTGGGTGGAGTTGGCCGGGTCCAGAGAGGGGCACCCATTGGCAGTGCGCCAGGTTTGGGAGAAGATGGCTTTCAGGACGAGCACGTGCCATGGCTTGGGCGGGCGGGGGCTTGGAGGCATTTTTGGCACCCCTATATATATATATATATGTGTGTGTGTGTGTGTTGATTTCTTGGGAGAAATGTCCCCACCGGCTCGTCCCTCGGCCGCTCCAGAGCCCCTGCCTCTATGGCACTCGAGCGCGAGCATCACCCCCCTCAAACCGCCAGCTTGAGCTCAAGAAAAAGCGATTTCGAACTCATGACTTTGGTCAAAACAACAGCAAGATGCACCGTCTCAACCCCTCTCTTGGGCAGCTTGAACTTGGTTCAAACTCGAACTGGAACTACAGGTGCCTCGAATTTTGCTTAAGGTCCGTTTCTGTTCCATTTGGCTTCTGGTCCCCTTGCCGCATTTTGGCGCAGCTGTCAGGTGCTTTGGTCGGCCTTTAAGACCTTCGACATCCATGACGACGGGCAAATCTCCAAGGAGGAGCTCCGTCAAGTGCTGCAGCGTGCAGACATCACCCAGGCCTGGCCTTGGGAAGCCCGTGCACTTCAAAGAAGAAGCAACGCTGCATGTTTTCTCGCTTTTGAACAACTAGGTCCCACTAGTACTAAAATAGACTACAGAAAAAGGGTACCCTTATTCTAACCTCTCTACTGGAGGGCCTAGACAACATGCCCCAAGGGCCTAAGACCACACATTGTGTACATATGACAACTTATGGCGTATGGAGAGTGCAGTGATTTTCATCTTGTAAATTGAATGGCCGTAGATTGCATGCCACGAATTGTGTACTTGTAAAGTAGTGATCCAGTCGTCTGTCGTTAGCTTGCAGCTAGCTTAGCTTGATATACATTGAGGGCATTCTATTGAGGGCAATGTGTATTATATCAGTATGGGTTTGTCTCAAAATAGGGGTACCCAAACAAATGTTATTTTTACCCCAAAATGGGCACCCCCGAAAAAGACACCCATTTGTATCTATTTGTATGTATTGCATAAACTGAGTCGTAACCATATTGGCATAGGAAGAGCATGTCAATGGCCCTTGTTTTCGCATCGCTTGCTCTCCTTTGAAGGCAGAATGCCGCATGCGATGGCGGGGGTTGTAGCAGCTTTTTCCGCAGAGTTCAGGAGATATGCAGCTTTCAAAGTGCAGCAATCAAACGAGGTGGAGCAGCAGAAGACATGCATGGGAAGCTATCGAGCCTGGCACAGAGGGTGCCTTTTTGGCACGCAATGAATTGTACAACATATCCAGAAGACCTGAAACTCGCCGACTTGGTGCACGCATGACAAGGTGTCGTGCATAACAACCGCGACTCTCTGTGTGTTGGCGTTTTTTTCTTCCGCGGCAATCATGCATGAAAGATCTGGTTTCTTGTCGGTGCAAAGTATGGCAAGACATGGATAAACATGGCAGTTCTCCACAGCGGCAATGTTTACTGCATGCAACATCGGCTGGGCCATGTTGGGGCCTAGGTTGCTTGAATTGAATCTGCGCCGATATGCGCCGATGTGTTGCACGCCTGTTCAAAGGGGGTACCTGGCCTTGCTGGGAGTGGCTGTGAGTCGCAAGACAACACTCCTAGACCTTCCAAAGAAGCTTTATATTTGATTGCTCGTTGTGCAGTCGATATGATTGCTTCATATTGCTTCGCTTGGCGCGCTTGCGATTGTTTAGCCCTTGTTTGTGTGTGTGTGTGTGTGTCTGTGTTTGTGCGCCGCGGAAATTATCCTTGCTGCGCGGCAGGCAACGTGTTCTGGAGTTGCACATGTTCTCACACAAGCAAAGCAAGTACTCGCTTGGCTATCTAATCTGTAATCGACCGTCCTTTGACATGCGTGCTGATTTGAGTCCTGGAGGCCTGGAGGTAACTCTTCTATAGCATGTCCAAGGTTTGTTTCCTTTTGGATATCGACACTGCCATACCCAGGACTGACACCCCCAACCTCCTGGCAAAGGCTCAGAGCCCTACCGTGCCTCCCAAAAACCAAACTTGAGGGAAGCAAGCTTGCTGATTTTTTGGTTCAAGAAGGCGGTATCAGGCTCCCCCAGGGCGCTGGTGCTTTTTCAGAAACCCTCGTCAACCGATAGCACACAGAGCTGGGTACTGTGGTGATGCGAACAGAGTGGCTCACTATTTTCTCTTTCTGTGTCAAAATCGCGGGGATCCTTGACTACCCTCCCACCAACATGGCACCTGGTGGCGGTACCTGGATCAGTTTCCCTAAATGAAACCCGTCAGGCGCCTCTTTTCGTGGGAGGCGCGTTCTTTGCGCCTCGAGGTGTGGACCGCGAACGTGTGCGAGGAGGTGGCCCAGGAGGTGGTGCAGGTCTTTGGCAGCAGCGACGGCGACAGCCGGGACCCCCGTGGAGAGCTGCCAAGGCGCCACAAACACTAAGAATCTGCCGAATTTCTTCCATTTGGTTAATATGTTTTTTATTTTCCCCCGGTTGGTTTTTAAAGGGAATCTATCACTACTGGAAATATTTGTATTTTTCCAGCGGACTCAAGTAAATGGAGTTAGTGGGAAACTCTTTGATGTTCAGCCCTGCTCCAAATCGGCGTCTACAGGCAGGCTTTCATTGAAGGTTGCAAAGGCCTGTGGCAGTTGTGGGGTTGATGCCCGCAGTTCTGCAAGCAAGCATGTGCAAATGATTAAAACAACTTGTAGCCGTTTCACCTCCAATAAAGTCAGAATTGAGGGGTCCATATGAGTCTAGAAGTATACCTGCTTCGATATCTTAGAATAAATGGTGCCCTTCCGGCACAAGATTCTGGAACCGTCTTGAACCTCAAACGCTTGTTTCGCCTTCAGTAGGCTAGGTCCCCCAGCAGTGCCCTTCTCTCCCCTTTTTTGTGGGAGGGTTCCCCTACAATAGACTACAAAAAAAAGAGGGTACCAACTTATTCTAACCTCTCTGCTGGAGGACCGAGTAGATCTGGGTAGGGAATTTAGCAATCGTGGCCTCGGGCCCAGGCATCAACTTTGAGGAGCACCTTGGCAGAGTTCTTGCGGCGGAGCCGTCGGCAGAATTTGTCTTGGGAATCCGTGGGCGTAGCTGTCATGCTGGAAAAGTCAACCGGTTGTTTTCGAGGATTGGCATATTTCGGGTTACTGGCAACCATGACCGTCGAATGCCTTAAGTGTGGGCTTTGAATTTCTGAATAGTGATGCTAACGCAATAGATACGTAGCGTGTTTCGTTTCGCCGCTTTGCTACAGGGCCACTGGACATTCGCTCTGGAAGCTTTCGCTCGAGGTGGCTGGATCTCATGCGCGAGTGTTCGGCGAGGCACAACGAGCGCAGGGCCTAGACCTTTCGATGAACCTTTGGGTCTCCGACAACGTGGATGGATTCACATGCAATGTGGGTGCTACTGTTTTTGCAGCTCATTACTCTTTTTCTGGTGGATTTAAATGTCAACCAACAGGAAAGCCACCATTTTGAAGGGGTCCGAATCCTATAAAAGGACGCCCACCCATGTGGCTGTGGGTCAAAACCCTTGGTACCATTTTTGGTGGTCGGTGCACCACCCGTTTTAGTCTATTTTAGTGAGGATTGGGATATTCACTGGGGGTACGATTCGGATTTGAGCCATGGCCATGTGGTTTGGTGCATCCCTTTTGGGGCGGACGGCTTCAAGACTTCGCTCTCAGGGTCTCTCCCCGGCGCTTCTCGCAGAGCCTGGCTACGGTGTCGGGGCGCCACAGGGATGCCATGCCCATGGACGGGGTAGTCTCCCAATGGGTGTGTCTTTTTATAGGATTTGGACCTCCCAAAGTGGTGGTTGTCCTTTAAAAAGGTGTCCCTCGAAAAATGCTCAACAAAAGCCGACTTGAAAGCTCAAAAGGAACCCGGGCCCAACCCCTACATCTTGACTTGACGCCAGTTTCAGGATAAAACTCAACATGGAGCCCAAGCCAAATGATGCTGATGTTCCCTTGGCCCCCCACAACGTACACAAACCAGCCCTAGGAAAAAAAAAACTGTACAGGGGGGTTTGCAGCCTTCTGATGCCAGCGCCATCCAGTGCCATCCGCAGCCACGTGCGGCTTGGGAGCCGCAAAAGGGATCAGACCAAATCGGAAAGGCTTTCGACTCAAGGCCGTGGAAGGAGTCGTCGGCCCAGGCTCCAAGATGCCCAGGCGTCGTTTGCACTTGGTGCTGCCGACGAGGACCTTTCGGAATTCGAGTCCTTCGGATTCGGAACTCGAATGGTCAAAGTTTGGAGTTGGAATTCGGATGTGTTTTGTCCGCTTGGATCAGACATTCTTCACATTCCCGGCTTTGGGCCACCTTTCAGGAGAGCCAGGGCAGCCAAGAAGAGACGGAGGCGTGGATTCCTGACGGAAACCCGCGGGTTCGGTTTCTTGATTCCTATCGGCCATTCGATGCCTCACACAGCAAATTTGTTATGTCATGATGGGGGCATCATGAAAAGTCGCTAAACCTCAAGGCCTGTGAGTGGATGGGATGTTTGCAGGCATTTGCTAAAGAGGTTGCTTTTGGCGCTGCATTGTACTTGGTGCTGCTTGCAACACGCATGCCAAGTTCCTGACGGATGTTCTGATTGCAGCGGAATGTTCTGGCTTGGCTTTGTTGGGCCATGTTGCTGAATGAGAAGGCGAGTCTTGGTCAGCCGCCCGCCACAAACCTCCGCGCACTCGACACAGATGTTGTCCGTCACCAGGACCCATGGGCTTATGTTTGCATATGGTAGCTTTTGGAGAAGCTGAGGAGGGGGCCTTTCCTCAGAAGTTCGGTACCTATAAAATTTGTCGCGGTGGCATGACGGTGCAGTTCAAGGCAGATGGAAAAGCTTGCCCCGTCAGGTAAAGGCCCTGATGCCCAACACCGAGCCAGTCCCTGCTGCCAGTGCAAGAAGTTCAGGCCTGGCCTGCTAAAGATGTTTGTAATCGCTGGTTGGTGGCAAACATTTTGAACACTGCAACGATGGCCCATCATGGCCCCAGCTCGGCAAATGGTTGCTGCGCGAATCTTGGTTGTTGGATTTTGCTGGCGGCATACCTCGTCCGTTTTTGCATTCTCGGCCGCTGCTGCCTGCTCAGCCTGACTGTAGAATGGGCGTCAGTGGTTGGGCATTATCGCGCAATTGAAAGGAGCGCACGGCTTGCAATGCGTGACATCAATCTTGCAGACAGAATCTTCAATTACTATAGTATCAAAGTGGTCAGGTTTTCAATCCAATGCTGCTGGGAGAGTCGGGTTGCCCATTGCTAGACAATGCGTTTGATGTGCCTTCCATCCTGTATTTTCTTGCTTGCAGGCGGCTACAACCCTATGCTTGACATGGACTGTTGTGGTAGCGGCCTGCGGAGGACAGAAGCCAGGATGCTAGCTACTTCACGGGCAGGCAGCCAGCACAAACAAACTCCAGCAGCTGTCAAGAAAGCCTCTGAAAGCTTTGATATTGTTCGAGTCGATGAGTTGCGAAAGAATTGTTTTGCTGGTTACCGGCTTCTGCTGCAAGAAGGCACATAGAAGCCTGGCCCAGTTTGCTCGCAGGATATACCGCACCATCAGTGGTCGACGGGAGATACGAGAGACCAGGTGAACGCTGACAGCTTCTGTATAATAAGCCCATCCCGTGGCCCTTGCCTTTCTTTTATTGAGCAGTGCAATGCCAATGCAGCCATATCGTCCGTTTTATGACAGCCGCTTTTTGGCGAGTTTTACATAGAATACTCGGCTCCGGTGTCTCCGCATGGTTCGGTGCATTATTTTTTTGTTGCGGTGTGAAGATGGGTTGATATTATTGCCCTTGATTGTGTTGGTTGCGAAGCCCTTGGTTGCGGCTGTTGTGGCCCTGGTGCGTGTGTGTGCGTGAGAATATGAAAATGCATAAGAAATGTCCTTACATAGAGTGTGTATGTTTGTAATTATCAAGCATCCACCGCAGCCCTTCATGCAGGCACACGTTCCAAGCTGTTGCAGTGTCAAACATGAAACACACGTTCTCGTTCTAGGAATGAATGGGAAGAGGCTTGCCCAGGCACATGTGAGTTGCAGGTGCTGAGGCATACATTGCGTGTTGCGGGAGCAATGCCAGTTCTAGCTTTCGTTGCCTGCCACAAAGAGAAGCAACTGATAGTCTTTGAATTTCCAAGTTCGTGTTCTCTTTGAACGCTGGGCTTCGGAGACAAGATGTTCGGGGATGGGTGCCATCGCGCTTGGCAGAGCTTTCGGCTCGGGCAACCTCTTAGGTGGGGCAATGAGAGTGCTTCCTTCGCGATAATGAGTCTTACTAAATTGACCTTTTCAAGAGGATGCAGTTACAGCTCAACGTGAAGGATTGCGGAGGAAGCATGTTGGGAAACTGAAATGGGTATTCGCAAGTCAGCATTGGATTGAGCCATTTGCATTGGAATGCAAGGGCATTCAGACTCGTTGGCAATTTACACTAAGGATGTTGCCCTAGATTTAATTAAAACACAGGGGGACGCTGAGAATAGTTTAATAGCAAAGATGTCAGCAGAACTTGAGAATCCGCAACCCCTTTGCAGAATCCCTGCTTGTTGTGTTTCTGAGCAATAGTAAACTTTCACGTGTTGGCTATTTGCAAACCCCTTGGCCATTCAGGTTAACCAAAGTCCTCCCGTTACTCAGTCCGTCAGAATTTCCCCCAGACTCGGGACCCGCGCGAGCCGGATTTTTCGCTTTCTGGGCTCCTGGCAGAGCGAGCCCGACAACTCCAGGCTTGCTGTGTGTTTGATCAAGAAAGCTTTAGTACATTTTGCTTGGATGTTAGGACTTTAACTTTTTGCCAACTAATGGGGTTTCCATTAATCCACTAAAAATTAAACTTTTAGCAGGGGAGCAGAAAGCAACCAAGAAAACCCACCATTTGTGGCAGGTCAATCGTTACTTGTGTTGCTTCATGTTAAGCTACAAGCTCAGCTTGTTCTGTGTCGTACGTCCGATTTTTGCATCCATTTGCCGGCGTCTAACAGTGGAGTAGCTTGATGTGTTCGCAACAAAGCAACCCGTGGAGCTGTGGAAGGTAGGCACGGCAGCGGCAGCTGCGTCCAGCTGCATGGGGCCTAAAGGGCCTAAACTAAACATATCCCAGCACGATCAAACCATTTTTCCCCAAACTTCCCAGAGTCTGAGTTCCGGCCTGGCTGGCAAGACGGCAGGCCGGGCGCCTCCCCAACCCAGGCAATCGGCAGAGAATCAGCGATGCGCCGTGCCTCCCCAGCGCCAGGGCCTTCCCTGCGTCGCGACCTATCCGATTGGTCCGATGCCTCGCAGCCATCCCAAGAGGTCTGCTTGCAGAAACTCACAGTCTTTCGTTGAAGCCATGCAAGCTCTCACAGTGTTTGCCATGAGTGCTTCATTCAGGTTCGGATTGGATACTACCTTTTTGGCACATAATGTGCATGAGGAAATCATTGACGGCGATGTCAATGTTGGCGGGCCTGACGCATGCAAAACGAATGCTGTTCCCAAGGTCATAGCGTGGCAAGAGCATGTTCATTCCATCGGACGGCCATTCCGAGAGAGGCGTTGATGTGGCTCAGCGAAAGCAGAACCCAACAAACGCAACCAGCAGTGGCTAGATGGTGTTTGCAATTTTAGAGGCTGCGGGGCATGAAGCCTTTTGGATGGCGGCATTCATTGCCCACGACAAACTTGATTGGCGGGAAAAGTTGTCTCGTTTGCTTCAGGGTGAGAAAAACAGCGGTTGCCATTCCGACAGGTTCGCCAGCTGGAGGAGGATCCAGTTTTGACACACGTGGCGGTTTGGGCCAATTGGGTGGCCCCTTTCAAGGCGTTGATGGTTCCGGGTTTGAAACTACGAAACACAAAAACCAAAAAGGGGTCCAAATGCACAGCTCAGCGCTGCACACTTTTTTCTTGAGCCAACGTGTGACGGGTCGAGTGGGTTTACCTCACAATCCACACTCCCCCTGCTGCATTTTGCAGCATCTAACGTGATCCCGTGGCCCACTCTACGAAATGGGCTAATCGAGAGTCCACTTCTTGGGACCTCGCGGTTTTCACCGCCCAGCGAACGAAGTCTGGGTGTTCGCAGGCGATCTGAAAGTAGGTCTTGCCCTTGTGCTTGCTGATCTCCAGGATGGTGTCCCCCTCCTGGATCGGGACAGGGTTTCCCAAATGAACCAACCCCGCTGCACTCGCCCTTCGCATCGCACTTGACGATGATCCTCCTTCTTGACTTCCCTGGCCAGAGCCGCTGCCAGGTTCCGAGGCATCTCCATGAGGCCACATAGCCAGCGGCATAGGCGGAATGGGCTCCAGAGCCGGGAGCCTGAATTCTCCTGGCCCTTTGAACCCCCCTCCTCGTTCTATCTCTTCCCTCCGTTCCAGGAAGTAGTGCCTCCTCCAAGACTGCTCCGCCATGTTCTTGAAGTACCTCCTCCGGGCAGGGTCCTCGAGAGCCCCCACCGGCACCAAGACATCTTGCAAGCGGCCATGGGCTCCGATAGTCCTACAAGCTACTTCCCTCCCGTGGAGCCTCTCCAGGCTACTGGTGAAACGCCTGGGTCCAGGCTGACTGTCCTGTCTGTCCGAGTCCTGTCCGATTGTGGGGCCGCATCCCACCTGGTCTCTTTCAGTGGGCCCTTCGGCCTCTTCTTGCGGATCTTGATTCTTCATTTCTTGTTTAGAGCTCCCCGGAAAACCCCTTTTAGTCTCTTGCGAGCTGCCCCTAGCCCTTTCCAGGGACGTCTCTTGATGGGAGCCCTTCTCTTCTACCTCAGGGTCTTGATCTTGAATTTTCCCTTCTTCTGACTCTAGCTCCAATTTGACCAGAGAGGCCCGCCTGCCAGAGGAACAACACCTCAGAAGTTCCCAAAATCCAATCGCCAGAAGAGCCGTGGCGATCATCATCCATACCAGCACCGAATCCTCTTCCAACATATCCTGGCCTTGAGCTCCCGCTCCGTTGATCATGCCGAAGAACACCATCAGGACTATTGCTCCCTTCATGAAGCCCCCGATGATCTCTCCAGACTCAACTCCACTGGACCTCCATGTCCTCTTGGTGTTCCTGGGTCTCTTCTGATCTCCACCAGCCGTTGCGCTCGCCGCCCTGATTGTTGATCCCGACGAGGCAGCAGTTGCCGATGATGCCGACGGCCCAGAGGTTCCCGACTCTCCAGCTCCATCTTCATCCATCTCGTCTTGCCTTTCTTGGTCCGTGAGGGGTCGACCCGACTGAAGCACCACAATCCGCCTCCTCGGCCTCACCCAGAATCGCGAATTTCCAACCCAGCCTTCTCTTAGCCAGACGTCACGTCTCCAGTTGTCTTCAACGATCTGGGTCCATACCCCACGCCGAACCTCCTCGCGATGATTCACCGGGTTGATGAACGATTCTCTCCTGTCCTCAAAGTCCTCCAGAAATAGGCCGGCCGGCAGATCTCTACGCTCGGGCTGATAGGATCGAATCCTCTCCACCTCGTGCACCCTCGTAGCCACCACCAAACCGTCTTCCCGGAATTCCACCTCCCAGTGATCTTCTCGCTCCTCCTCCATTGATGGATACCACCCATGTCCCGGCAACCCTCCACCCGCACCGTCGAGTAGCCGCAGTGGTTGTTCGCCAGATGGCAGAATACAAACTTCCGGAGCTCGCAGCGCTTGTAGACGGGGCCGAACCTGCCTTGGTTGCTCCGACGTCCTTACCACAGCCGCCTCCTGCCGCAGTGGCATCCAGAACGTCGTTGCCCCTCTCCATGCTCCGCGAAACCTGAAGCTATCCTCGGTCCACTGGTCATTGATAAGCCTTCTCCCCATATTGACGTCCTCATACACCACACTTGTCTGCCGCCTCTGTTCCAATCTCTCCAACGAAACACCCGGGGGCAAGTCTAGTGCTTGAGGCTGATAGTCTCGATGCCGGGGCAACATATGGACCCACGTCAAAACGACCATTGATTCCCCGGTCTGGACGTCCCAGAAGTCCTCTGGCTCCTCCCCAACCGATAGTCTCTCCACCCTTTTTAACAGCTCCGCACCACCTCCATCCAAGGGCCATGGCTGACGATTCACGAAACCCTCAGCTCCTACTGGGCAGCCCTCAGGGCAGTGGTTGAACCTTGAAGGGGGAAAAACACCCTCACCGGATTCCCAATCCTTTGACCCAGCCCCAAAAACTCGACCCAACTTGGCCGTTCTTGCGCCTGGTTCATGTTCCCTAGGCATCTTGTTCGAGAGCCCAGGTTCATGATCCCTTGAGCTCTCCACTGGGGGGCCTGGTTCAGGGACCCTAGGCCTTTCCCATGTTGGGGTGTCCGGTTCAGGGACCCTGGACATTTCCCCTGCCCCTGGTTCATCTTCCCTAGGGGATCTTCTTCCTTCTTTTGTGATCTTCTTAAGACAATGGCCCCGAGTAATCAAGGTGGCCACATAAGCTACACCTACTCCTAGAGCTGCTAGGCAGAGGGTCTTAGCCTCTTTTTCCTGGCAGTTCTCCGGGCTCCAACTTGCCACCTTGCCCATGATCAGGCCCAGTCCTGCCAATTTCAGCTTGTTCACGTTCTCGATCGACCGCCATTCCGTTGATGACGCCTCCACCTTCTCCACGTCCACCTTGACCATCCCGGCCAGCTCGTAGAACTTGGGCCACTGAGCCTTGGCCGTCATGGCTTTCGTGAGATGGTCCGCAACCAGTCGCGTACCCGGTAGATGCCGAACGGCCCATCGTCCTCCTTTCACCTTTTCTCGAAGCACTTCGGCACGTAGGCGAAGATGACGGGTACGCCATGGTCCGTCGTCAGCACTCCCGATAATCGTAATAGCGCTCGAGTTGTCTCCGTACACCACGAAGTCCCCGCCTCCGCCCATACTAGAGTCTTGACCGGCTTGAGCCCTTTTTCGATCATCGCCGCGATGAACACCCGCTCCTTCATGATTTTCCGCCAGTAGCTGCTTCTTCTCATGTTCCTCTTCCAAAGGAGCATCCACGTCCTGAACCTCCCCTTCGTAGAGTCTCTCTCCATGTTGAACTAGGTCACTATAGACCAAGTCCTGCTGCTGGGCCACATCGACAAGAAGGTCGTCCCAAGCCCCATTCTCCAGGATGCCCAACACCACCGCTACCGACTGGCCCATCGTCATGGCCTCCAAGTAGCCGACCAACTCGGCTTCCGCCGTACTCAGTGTGGTGAACGCCTGCCTCACAGAAAGCCACTGCACCAATGACCCCCCATAGCACGCCATCACCCCTTGGTGACTCCGACCTCCTCCAGGTGCGTAAGACACATCCGCGTAGAGCTCGATGCGGTTCATGGCATGGGCAAAAGGCAACGCCCCATCTACGCCCCGACCTCCGACGCACCTCTCGTAGCTCAGTCCTAGTGACTGCGTACCCAGCAGGTAGCCAACCATCTCCTCCGCAGCCTTTACCACCAGCTGAGGACACTTGGTGATATGCTGCGCCATCCAGGCCACCCCGAAGGAAATGTCCGGCCTTGTCCTAACCGAAAGCCACAGAAGCTCTCCCACCAAGCCTTGCGCCTTCTTAACATCGTCTGCATTCACATCGACGCCCTCCGGCACCTCCGGCTTGGAAAACGGGACTGGCCTGGGCTGCTGAACTCCATGTCGTTGGGCAAGTTCCCCAATGTAGGAAGGCTGTCCTAGAAGTAGTCCCCGTTCACCCCATCGGAGCTCGAAGCCGCAGAATTTAATCCACTTCTCCAAGCAAACCCACTCCGGCTGGCTACAGGACCATTCCTTGGCAATGCGGTCCAAACATCCTTGAACTACACCGTCAGGTCCACAAACCATCATGTCGTCCACGTAGACCACCAGGTGGCCCACGACTTTGCTACTCTTGCCGTCATTCCTTCTTTCCACCACCGACCACAGATTTGACTCCGAGGTTGATCAGCGAGTAGTGAGCACCGTCATCGTGCCAATTGAAGTTCTTCAGGGATGCGTCCCGGAAAGCCGCCCAATCCGCCGGAGAGCTATCCAGTCCATACATTGCTCCCTTCACCCACCACCTTTCCTTTGGGCCACATAGCCCCGCTTGCAGGAGAATCTGTGGAGGCCGCGTAATCAACGTCCTTCTCGTCTCCTTTCGTGGTGCCAGGAGGAACGCGCCCTTCACGTCCACCGCCGCAATTCCCCACTTCTCGTGCGCTGCCTTCCGGAGGACACACCTGATTGCTGTTCCGTCCACGCCCGAAGCGTAGTTGTCCTTCTTGTCTACAGGCGTCTGCTCCTTTTCGCCATTCATAGCTGTGAGCATATTCCCGCAGATAACCACTCGAGCTCGATGCCGACCATGAGGTGCCTTGATCGTGGTAACCAGCTTGGCCGGGGCGTATTCCGCGTCCTCGATGCCCGGGATATTGGCCAGGTCGTCTTCATGTACCTTCTCCACAACCCCTGACGTCTCGGTGATCGCTTGGTACTCCTCTTCCATAGCCGGCTTCCGTGTACGTCTGCAGCACCTTCTCAATCTCCCCCGGACCAGCCGCCTGCACGGAGCACAACCGATTGATGCCCTCCACCTCCTGATCCCTAAGGAATTCAAGCTCTTCCTCCGCCTGCGACAGCTCTTTGGAGAGGTAGTCCATGACAATGGCCTGCGCTGCACCTCCTTCCTCATGCAGAGAAATCCGTTTCAGCTCCTCTCCGTAATGCCTCCTGCACTTCCAATATCTTTCTCCCAAAGCTTCCCGGTACTCCTCCACGTTCCAATCCAGCGGCCATGACGACCTCCAGATTGACGTTTCCGGTTTCCACCCACCAGGTAGCGCTTCGGTCTGAACTTTTTCAACACCATCACCGTACTCCCCCCCCGCTCGCAGAAGTCGTAGAGCGGGTTCTCCTGGTTCTGCTCCCCCATCTGCATTTCCGAGGCGAGGAGCTCCCCCGGGCTCGAGGCTTTGCTTCCCTCGACATCTCTTCCATGGTTTACCAGGGCTATGGTCAATGGTGAGCTCGTACATGGCCCGGTCAGCAAGTGGTTCTGGCAAAATCGCCGCCCGCGCATGTTGAACATTACCTCCTGCAGTCTGGACCACCCAGCCCCACATCATAGTTGGACTGGGTCCTAGCAACCTCACTTGCTTGAAGGGTGCCGCCAAACCACCACTCTTGTGCCAGCGCTTCGTCTTGACCATCACCTGCGCATAGTAGGGCAGCATCGGCATTGGCGTGATCCCCAAGCTCTTGAGCTGGTCCTGCATTCGTTCCAGCGCCACATGTCTTATGGCCGTCGGCCACAAGCGAATAGGCGCTCCGGATGCTTTGAGAGTTACTCGCAGCCTTCTCTTCAGCTGGCAGATCTCGCCTTCTACTCGCCCATTTGCCGCGTGGTCATCCCCACCAGTGAGCGTGAGGATCATGTTGCGTTCAGCACACCACTGACGAACCGGTTTCGCGAGGAATTCCTTGGCTCTGTCGCAGTGCATGCGGTAGAGGGGTATGCCCATGCTCCGATATTTGGAAAACAGGAGCCCAAGAGCCAACAGCACGTCCTTGGTCTTGCGAGATTCGTGACGTTCTGCACCTGGTATCCTCGTAGCGCGTCCTTCATGTCGTCCCGCACTTTGACGTTGACCGCTTCTGCCACCGCATCACTGACCCGAGGCTCCTCATCATCACATTCCAGCCCTTCTAGAGCCTCATCCTCAGCAGCATGGTCTCCAGGATCTGCCGAGTCACCCGGCTCTCCTTGATGCTCACGCTCGCCGCGTAGCTCTTCTTCCTCTTCTCCATCTGCTTCTCCAGGTCCCGGGGTCACCTCCTTCACAGGAATAGCCACCGTGGCCACCAAAGCGTACTTCACCTTTTTTCCCGTGCCCACATCGCTTCCTGCGACAAAAGGGCCCGTGATGTCAACGTTGAGCACATAGGCCGACACCGCCGCCTTCAACCTTCGATGGGGTCGGTCCACTCCTGTTTCTTGGAGACACATCCGGCATCTCCGGTCAAATGGAACATGTCCCCGATGAACGTGTTGCTTCCACTGCTCCAAGCTCATCGCCTTTTTTACCTTTACGTGGTTCATCTGGCTGATGTTCCGAAGATAGATCTGCAACGAAGCCTTGATCGCCGCCACCATCCCCGGTGCCCAAGCAGCCCACTCCCGAGATTGCCGAAGTCGCCCCTCCAGATCTTCTTCTAATTCCTCCTTTCCCTCACCCTTCATCCCCGCCAAGTCCTCCATGCCCGGCAGGTTCGTGAGCAAGGTAGTAGGCTTCCTCCTTTGATGCCCGCAAGCTCCTTGATCCAAATCCACCATCTTCATGTTCCTCTCCCGTCCGAACTCAATGATCTCCGGGAAATTCCAGAACGAGGGGATGGCTCCCGCCCTCGGTTCCTTAACATACTTCATGGGGTCCATCGGGCTCTCTTGCAAAAACCCGATGTCTGGCATCCACGGAGGCTTGTTCTCCATCGCCTTGAGCCACAGCCCGACCTGCTTAAAGAACAGCGCCGTGTCTCCATCGACCTTCTGTTGGTTCTCTGCACTGATTCCCGGGAGGCCGAACCGAAGATCGTCTCGTCCGCGTAGAGGAGGAGGCCCTGGCTGGATGTGCCGTAATCGTGAGACTGTTCGGCACGGAGGTCCTCCGATCACTGCCTTGATCAGACCCATCTCCGCTAGTTTCCACAGATAGCCCCACAGGGCCGGATTGTGCAAATCCTGCCGCGAATCCTCTTGCACGTCCACTGTGATGACCTCGAAGCCTTCCAGGCCCGTCTTTCTCCACTGCCTTCCATCCTTGCCCGAGAACAAGTGGATCACTACTCCCCGGCCAGACTCCCACCGTCGTCGAAGTCTCCGGTTGAATGGACACCTGCCATTTGTCTCGCCCTCGTCCGTGACCCGCATCATGTAGGCCAACACCCGCTTTGGCAGCTCCGGAAACCTCGATCTCCACCATTCTTCATCGTTGGTTGCCCATTCCGATGCTCCGGCCGGGTCCAAGAAGTCCAGGAGCTTCATCGCTGCCTTCCGTTCCATAACTGGACAGCCCGATCTCAACCAGCAGTCCAGTCGTCCCAGCCGGCGATGCTCAATACGGCATCCCTTGGCTGTCCAATTGATCACGAAACCAGCCTCCACCAACGTCCTCAATGGCACTATTGGCTCCACCGGTTCCTTCGTCAGCAGGGCGATCGTGTTCTTGTGCTTATACATCACCGCCGTGCCACACGCCAACTCCACTTCGCACTCCACCAGCCCGTTTAATTCCTCCGGGCGCGCCTGACGAAGCGGATGCGTAGCCCCACCATCGAGCAACGCCAACTCCTGATCCGCGTCTGCTTCACCATAACAGATCTGCTTCACCTTGAACTTGGCCGCTCTCATCGTTTTGAGGAGGCCCGTCACTTCCTTAATCAAGTCCTCCCCCGAACCTGCTGCTGTGCTGCCCGCAGCCTTCTTTCCGTCTTCCTCTCTTCCTTTAACCATCTTGGATGCCGCAACCTTGGGTACCGCAGGATCCTTCACCTTGATGGGGCAGTCCTTTTTCGCATGCCCGACCCCCGAGCACTGAAAGCAGCGGTTCGTCTTCGTGATGCCCTCCCATGAGTGCGCAAAGCTACAGCCGCTGCCTCGTCTGCAACCTTCCTCCGTGCCCCAGAACCGACAAGGCATACTCGAAGTCTTTTTCTTGTCGTAGCCCCCGGGTTTGCCGTCCTGGTACTTCTGATCCGCAAACGCCTTGAGCACCGGGTTCGCTGGTGCATTGGCACTGGGAGCCGGAGGTGGACTTGCCGTAGGAGTTTTAGCCGATGACGCCAAAGCCAGCTCTTCCGACTCTGCCTGCAGAAACTCCGCGTAGAGCTTTATGTACTCCAGATCCGGCCTCACGTCAACCATCAATTCCTGTCTGACCGATGCAATCCTGAAGCCAACCTGGCCGTTGCCCTTGCTGATGACCTCTCCGACCTTGTTGAGCACCGCCATGAGAACCAGGCCATCTGGCAGCGCCAGACTCAGCTCCTCCGCTCTGCTCAACCATCTCCTCCACTGCCTCAGCGTTTGCAGCGCCTCCGCATTGGACGTTCCAGTCTTGTGGTCCGCCAGGTTCTTCAAAAGGGTCCCACGTTCCGATTGGCCACCTGGTTGGTAGATCTGGTACAGGCGAAACATCACGTTGATCGATGACATTCTCCTTGACGATATGATATCCCGACGTATCCCATCGGGCACGGCCGCCAAGAGCATAGAGACGCCCCTCTGCTCCACCCGGAAGTTATGCTCCGCACCCAAATCCAGTTCAGGTAGTAGCCGAATCTTCTCCAGGGGAGTTGCCACTAACCATCTCGCGTAGGCCTGTTCCGCTTGCTCCACTACCTTTCTCCACCAGGTCCTTGCCGATCCAGCGATGTCCGACATCAGGGGGTTGATCACCGTCACCCAATCACCAAACTGCAATGACGCCATGTCGCCTCCAGGGGGTGGTAACGCCGGGAGCTCTAAGTTCCTCAACGCCTCCGTCATGTTGGCTGCCGTCCGCAGGGCACTGTCCTCTGGTGGCATCCCTCTCGGTGGAGGGGGTGGTGGTGGCGGAGGAGGAATCGGGTCGCTCTGAGCCGTGCGGAAGGACGCTTCGTCACTGTAGTAGCTCCCCCCAGCTTGGTTCAGTCTATTCAGCTCCAGCTGAAATGCTTCCTCGGCTTCCTTCATGATCCTCCGCCTGAGGCCCTCCACATCCACTGCTTGTTGAGACCTCCCTTGAGACCCTGGCTCAGGTCGCTGCGGCGATCCCACGAAACCTCCCTGACCTTCAGCAACAGGCATCCCAGCCGCGATGGCCCTCCTCTGAACCTCGGGGCTCCAAAACGGGTTGACCTGTGGCGGTTGTTGCAGCGGCTCACCATTACCTCCGCGATTATCCCAACCCCACTGCCACCCTCCAGCAGCACCAGCAACTCCTTCTGGACGACGTCCTCGACCCGCCGATCCATTTCCTCTTTGTTCTTGATCCGGACCATGTTCATCA